CGCTCTTTTTTTTTCTTTTGCATTGGTAATAACAATATTAAAAAAAATGGGCGTGAGGTATTTGAAAACCTTCGGCGGTTAGAAATAACAAAATGAAATCGAAACTTACTAGTACTAGTAGTTACCAATAGGTAAATTTATTATGTTCCTCTGTAAGGTAAAGATTACATCCCCAAACGGGCGTATAAATTTGGGTGGAACTACCCCAATGCCCTTACTCTGTTAAAATTTTTAATCATATCCATTATATAAGACAGATAAAATCTAACGAACGTCATAATCTCTTAGCGGTCGAATATAGCGACATCCAAAGTTAGATTTACTTAAGTTTAAAAAGGATCTTCTAAGCACATAAAAAAATTAACAATTGAAATAAGATTATGGGTTAAGTTTAATCAATAATTACCTAGGTGCCACGGAAGATTAAGTCATTTACCGAGATAATTGTACCAATAATAATCAAAGTTTAAATTACCTTTGACGGCCATGAGATGAACTTTAGGTGGGTGAATCAGTTGCAGAAAGTTGAGCAACTTTCGCACTGGCCGGTCATAGGATGGGTGACCAAAAATTTATTATCTTTTATGGTACGAGGCACAACAAATTAGTCTACCTCACCTGATGTGAAATGTAAGTGGAGTCCAGTCGCGAAGATAGATAATGCGGCAGAATGTATGCCGATCCAACCAGCCTCACCTTGTCTATCTGAACCGAATACCCTACTCTGCGGAGCACTGGAACTACTCACCAGCAGAAACACTAAACCACCAAAAGTTAGTGTTCTTTTACTGCAGTCTTCTGTAAGATGGAGGTTGCTTCCTTAGTGTGGCCGCACACGGGCCACCGACCACGACCACAAAACGCCGCCACCGGCATATTTCTTGTAGTTTTCATACATTTTATATGGACTCGCCACACACGTTACGCTGGTGGCCGCCACACGCTACAAATCGTCGTTGCTCTCTTCTTGTGGCCCGCGCTGGCCACTTAATGCGCCGATACTAAACGCCGCCACACGTCACTCGCGCGATTCCCCACAGCCACTTTAGTAGCCGCTTCTAGCTTCTCGTGGCGGCGTTTGTGGCTGTGGCGTGTGGCCCGTGTGCGGCGACACTTATCTTCACTAGATAACAAATGCGGTAGAAAAATAGCACTAGCTAGCGTTACCAGGCGTTCGAATAAAACCGGACATAGTTAAGCTTTTTGAATGCGTGTCCGACCAAAATAAACGCTTGGGTTGTCCGGCTTTTGCTAGGCTTTCTACATTTCGCAAACGAGTGATCGGGTAACGTGGCCGAGCGCAAGCAACTTGACTGTCGTTCGCGTTTACATATTTTTTTTGTCGTACCTAATACCTATTACTGAGCCACAAAATCTCAATAATACAATACAATCCAAAAACTTTATTGTACATCACTTGAGGTTGCTTCCTTGGGGAACCATCTGTACGGGCGTTCCCATTCTAGCGGAAAATCCACTGAACCCACCTAGGTTAGACCCACCCACCTGGTAGATAAGAGCCTACCTAGGCTCTTACCTACAAGAAATCTATCTCCGAGCTTCTTTCGGGAGGTACATAAAGCCGTTGGTTCTGACTGCATCTAGCACTCGTTAGCACCTACCAATCCGCACTGGGCGGGCGTACAGTTTCATAAGCATTTCTCCCTATTCCTTCCGTAAAGAATGCCTGTGTCCCTGCAATGAAGGCATTAATAGGCTGATGATGTTTAAGATGACAATAAACCAGACGAGAATGATGAGTTAGCAACTGGCGCATTCTATATTTTACTTTAGCTCCCAATCCAACATGGCAGACATTATTTCGTATTCGATCAATACTTGATCCAATAACAAGCAACAAGATGTCGTAAAAGTAAAAAAAAGAGCAGAGCTACACGCTAAAATTAAATTACCTCGTAACATTTGTATTCACATGACTACGATTTCATGTAATGTTCAGCTATCCGTGGTTGAATTTGATAAATGTTGACCGAGCAACATCATGCATAATGCAAACACCAGTAGGTAGATAAACACGTTTTGGTTAACAAAAATTGTGTCAAGCATGTACGCGCTGTGTAGGTACTGGAAGTTCCGTAGCTACCATTATTGGCATAAAACCTTTTCTCATACCAGAACAAAGAAAATTACCCAACTAAATGTTAAGTGTGTATTGTATCATAAGTGTATTTAGTTCAGCGGCAAAGTCAGCAGATATAGCAGTAAAAAAAACTTACGATACCACTCTAACAATCTTCACATTGCTGGCCTTGCCTTTTCGATATTTTTATATGTGCAAAGTTTATTCAAAACAATAAATATTCTTTGAATAAGTAAAATTCAAGTGAATAAGAGCGTGCGCACCCTTAAGCGGGACACGGAGCGGGCGTCCGTCGCAGAGATCCGCTGCGTTCTCCGTCGCAAGTCCCGCGAGAGGCCGACGCAGCACCGCCATTACAATTTCAATTGCGCGGGTGAACAGTCGATTATGGATTATTTTTGTTAATAAATACTACTTAGTTAAAAGAGAACGAAGAGAGCACAGTAGACAGCTAATCGAGCGTGCACCGTCGCCCGCGAGGCATGATGTGGCTCTATGAAACAAACGTGCCGAGCGGACGCCCACTCCGTGCCCCGCTTAACGGTGCACACGCCCTTAGTTTCTCGCTATGACTGTATTATTGCCCTAAGCTTTAACAACTAGGTGCTAGATGAAAAAAAAAAACTAAACACGCTTTTACAGCGCACAGCAAACTAAAAAGTAAGAAATAAAATGAATATAACGTTGGTATAGGTACCTTTTTCTACGCAGACAAAACCTCTATTTACAGACATTGGCGCCCTTGGGGCACACCAACGAACGGACCTCACACCTAGCCCCTCGCAAGTCTCACGGGTACGAAACGGAGAATCCGTTAAGCAGTCAGCGCGGCTTATGAGCGCTTGTGGCATACTACCCGCAAAAAAATCCTGCGAATACCCTCTACGCTGTTAACTGCGGAACTGCGAGATCCCCATTGAAGGAGTTCACCGCGTCGTCCGCACCTGACAGCCCGGCAACGATGGTAAACCTATAGTAAGCTTGTGGTGGTTAAATACTTATATATTAAGTACGCAAGTTAAAATTATAATTGCTACGCCCTATATAACAGTTACAAACATTTTTATAAAGTAACATAAACTTGGTGCGACCTTTTGGAACCTCATAAGGAACACGGAAACGGAACCCTAAAAAATAATCCTCCACTTTAACCACTCCGCTTGAATGAAATGACAAAGGGAATAAGAGACAAATCGTTTGGAAAATGTAAAAAAAAAGTTTTGATTCTTTCGTTATTTTTTTCGATAAATCCCACACAAAAACAAATTAAGCAACTCACATTTTAGATTATTGGATATACGTGTTTCGGTTTTAAAATCTGGTAATACTCATAAACGGGTGCTTGCCAGTGGCAATTTGTATGGTCTGCCGGGCTGCCTGCTATTATTTATTTATTCACACAGCTCCTTTTTTATTGTTCTATCGTATTCATACCAATGATATTACTCTGTACTTTAAGACATGGCAGTCATCATCATCATCATATCAGTCGTAAGACGCCACTGTTGAGGTCTCCCCCAAGGATCTTCACACCGATCGGTCCTACGCCACTCGCATCCATCGGCTTGCCGCGACCTTCACAAGATTGTCGGTCCACCTTGAAGGAGGCCTGCCCACTGAGCGTCGTTCGGTACATAGTCGCCATTCAAGAACCTTTCCACCCCAACGGCCATCGGTTCTCCTTACTGCGTGTCCCTCCCACTGCCACTTCAGCACAGCTAGCTTTCGAACGACATCGGTTACATTAATTCTCCTACGGATTTCCTCATTTCTGATTCTATCGCGTAGGGATATAACGAGCATTGCTCTCTCCATCGCTCGCTGTGTAACCGCCGCAGTAAACGAGACATAGCATTACAGATCTATTAATGTTAAATGATGACTGGTTGGTTTAACGGCAGCACTCACCTCCCGGTCCCAAGGCCATGGGTTCGAATCCATTTATTTGCGTCTTCAATAGCAAACATACCTAATGTTCTAAATTCTTATACAAGACAGCAGCGAGAGTAACTTAAGTTTTCATAACTTTTATAATTTTCTGCGTAACTTTCTTAATTATTTTCCCGTGAGAACTCCTTCAAAGTATTAGAAAACTTTCACAAATAGGGCAAGCTAAATAAAACCGTTAAAAAAGATGGATGAAATCGGTAACACTTTCTTACAAGTAAAGCTGTGACGGGTAACCGTGATTCATTTTTATGTACTGTCAGCCAATTTGATCCCGCCTGACCGACCATAATTTTCTAACAACCATTGCTAAAAAATGAGGTAGACTTTCACTTAAATGTACGTTAGTTAGTTTTTCAGGGCGGTTTCCACACTTAATCCTAATTACTGAACCATTGTGCGTGTCTCGAAACATTCCTGTTTACTCCAGCCAGCCTATATTAGTCCAGAAGGAAAGTAGCTTTGATAGACTGCTGCAAGCCGCCGGAAGCGATTCCGGCAACTGGAGAAGTCGTGCCCATTGGTCGGTCACACTCCTGCATGCTGTGGCATTTCTTCTGCCTCCATGCATACTCTGCATAGGGGGCTGTCTGTTACTCCTATTGTATATAGGTGTTTGTTTAGAAGACAATGACCAGTCAGGGTTCCTATAATCTTGCGAAGCTTGTCCCTACTTAGTATGATAAGGGTGCAGGCAAATACGTATCCCAGGAAACAAACTTCTTAATTTCCAAAAAGAAAATATACCTACCTCATGTTAAGTGGAGGTAAAGTCCAGACGCGAAGATAGCTGGTGCAGCAGGTACAAACTGCCACACCAACCATCCTCACCTTGCCAGCCTGCAGGAATGCTTCTTCACCCCTCTTTTAAAGAACCCCCAGATTGTAGGAAGTAGGGTAGATGTGCGCAGACAAAGAATTCCATTTGTGAATAGTACAGTAAAGAAAGCAGACACTAAATTTCTTTGTCTGTGTAGGAATAGTTGCTACACTAGTTGGTGAGAGCATAGGCCAGTGTGTACATAAAATATATTAAAGTGCAATGTATTTAAACATAATACTTCTATTTAATGATTTAAACAAAGAATAAAAAACTTGATTAGTTTATTATCTCCACAACAGCTTCTGACTTATCAACCCACAATATATGATCTTTATTTTTATCTATTGGGAGTGCTTTCTTTGTATCACAGATACTGCAAACCCATTCAATAATCTTTGATTTGTTTTTCCTTTTAATTTTTTTTGTACTGGTAACATTATGAATAAGTGTACACCTGCATTTTTTGCACATCTGCCTTTTGATATCAGGATGTCTGCAAAAAAACACAAATAATTATAATAATTAATATTAATACCTAATTAAATTTTATCACAACTGAATTTACGATGTTGTAGTGTCGACGGCTCCTCTGACGGCCTTCCTAGGGGAGACATCAGGATTTCTATAGTACTGATAACTCCCAGAGGTAGGGAAGACATCAGAAATTACTTTTGAAATTGTATATGATTGAGTATTCATATATATCACAGCTCTGTTATGCTTAGCCATACCGGCCACTTGAAAATAAATAAGTATTTAATGCTTATTTTCCTGTATACCCTTAGCTACTCCCTTGAGGGTCCAGTGAAAAAATAAATTTAACTGCTATACCCTTGCCCACAAAACCCAACCAATGAATAAATATATTTTTAGTAAAATCAAATTAATGAATAAAAGAGAAAAATTACTTTCTGATTTTTATAACCAGAACCTCTTATTCATGTATGGTCTCCTGGTTTTTTTTTTTTTTTTTCAATGTAAGCTTAGCAAGGGGACATTCAGGTAGGTACTAAATAAACAATTTTAAAAGTAAGTCCTGATGCCTCCCGCACCTAGGAGAGATATAAGTACTAGAGTAATGGTATTTCCCTAGGAGGGCCATCAGGGGAGACAACTACAGTCCGACATCCCATTTACTCTCATAAAAGTGAAAAGGTACAAACATTTTCAGAACATTCTTCTTGGCAATGCTCACGATAAGATTGCCGTAGTATGATGATAGTGCTGGATTTTTTTCAGATATATATTTACTAACCTGTAAATATAAGCAACATTTTGAATCAAAATCAATTCAAATCAAAAATCATTTATTCAGTCTAGGTTGTTAGAAGCAGTTGAGAAAGACGAGACGCTTTCACGAAGAATTTGAGCAAGGAATAATGGGAACATCTCCTAGTCTCTAATTGGAGATAATCAAATTTTCAATACCAATATGTCCGTAGGGATAACTTACTTGATACAGATAATTTATGCGTTGGAATGAGTCGTTGCCTTGCACTTTCTTCATTTTAATATTTATTGTAAATACTAAAATTGTATGTTTTCTTTGTCAAGGCTTACGTTTCACACTATTCTGCCAATGTGTAAAGGTAGCTTTAACACTGCAGAAAATTTGTAAACACCATGAAGTTTCTCCGCATGTATGATTATGCCAATACAATTATTTGTTTATTTCAATTCTTTTTTTGTGAAGATTTAGTTTAGCTCGAAGAAAACGATTTGTTTTTGGTTTGACAGAATTGTAAAAATACACCGCGATCAGCTGATTTGTTATTTTTTAATTTCTTCCATTAGAAGAGGCATAGTAACATAGCATAGGGCCTGATTCTGACATGAATCTCTAAAATATGTCAGAACAGAAACATATTGATGTGCCGTGGCGTGACGTGACGCGCCAGGAACACATCGATTTCATACATTTCCTATGGTTAGAGACATATTTACGTGTCGTGTGTATCAACGCTCTAACTTCTCCCTCTCTCTCTATCCCATGATAAATGTATGAAACCAATGTTCTTCTGGCGCGCCACGACACTCCACGACACATTATTATGTTTCAGTCTTAAACATTTCATCAGTCATCCAAGCTCTACAGAGAATAAAAAAGACATTCAAATAGTCAAAAATTAAAAAATATTTTTTATTTATATTATGTTTAGAGGATGGTCAAATTAATACGAATGGTAATGGTAATAATCTGTGACAATGACAACACAATGACAATACAGAACAGTGTTGCTAGATCGTACAGTTTTTCCACGTTTTCTACCGCCTTTTTGACAATAGACCCTCGTTTCACTTTTTAGGCGATTCTCCCACTGGCAACGCGTCCCGCCACGGTGCATGGGCGGCAAATTACGCGCGCGATGACGACGGACAGATCTGCTTCACCGTGCGGGAAGTCATTCAACGACGGCCTGCGCCAAATAAAAACTTGCGACCATTTTTGTGATAACCTTTGAGATCCTCGATAATTTTTATTCTCAAAGTAATTTAAGATGCTGCAATTATTTTATCAATGTGGATTTAAATTGCTGAGCGTTGTTCAATTTCAAATATAAATCTACCCATGTCAAGATCCATTGAGAAAAGGTACTTAACCCACGCGGAACTGCGGAACTTAGTATGTTTCTCACTCACAATCAAAGACAGATACGCACACATGCACAATTCAATTTTGGAACACGGGCGATAAGTACTCTGTCTATATCTGTGGTCGTAAGGGCTTGTTATCTCTTTTATCTTACTCTGTCAATATTTAAATAGTACTAGTAATAGTCTTTAAATAGTAAGTCTATGATTGGTAGTTTTCAATACAATCACTGCGACAGGCAGCAGAAGTTGTATAAAAGCATTCCTTATTTTGTTGTATGAAATATAGTAATTAAGAAATTTGATTTTCCAGGGGAAGGGGGGAATGCAAATCGTTAGCGAAAGAAACACCGTTGTTTTGTTTGAAAATCCGCGTATTTGCATAAATTTTACCGCGTTTTTAATTTCTTCATTGAGCAACACCGCCAGAGTCAGTCATTTCCGGTTATAATAAGGAACTGTACTCTGTGGTCAGTCAGTTTAAAAAAATATCAAAATTACACCGGTAATAAAAAAGTTTTTTACCAAATTTTGTTTTAATAAATTTATTATAACTTACTGTTAAATATTATTGAAGACAGTACCTACACACACATAAACCTGTGTAATTGTAAAATTTTATTTGTAGTTGTAAAAAGTTTAAAAATAGATAACCTTAAAGGTACAAAGTTTAGAAAATGCTGTCTAAACATCGTACAGTTATATCAAAATTAAGGAGTAAAGGCGTATGCTGTCATAAATATTCCTCGTCTGCAGTCGCTACTGATGTTACTTTTACAAATGGGTAAGTTGACTTTATGTTATAGGTTATATTTATTACTTACACTTTAGAACACTTTAGTGTGCGATACATATCCTTGTTTTATAATTTTCAATTAATATCTAAATAAATTAATGCTATCAACTGTTTGATTCAGTAAATTATGTGTTACCTATTTAGCCAACAATTCTGTGCTAATGACCAGCTTATAACAAAACATCCTCCATGTAATATCTCTGGCTTGAGAGAGATCCTATAATTTAAGAGCATACATACCATTTTCCTCTAGAATTGTTATTTAATGTAATGAGTCATATGATTTTAGCTGGTAAGCCTTTTAAATAAATAATAAAAAATATTGTTTATATTTTAGGGTGAAACTTAATTTATCGTCTGGTCGCTATGCTCGTTTCGCCGATGGCGCCTGTGTTGCTACGATAGGGGATACAAGTGTACTATCCACTGTTGTTTCCAAAGCCAAAGCTAGTTCAAGCTCTTTCCTGCCACTGGTTGTGGACTACCGACAAAAGGCAGCTGCTGCGGGACGAATACCTACTAATTTCTTAAGGAGAGAATTAGGTAAATACCTAATTTACTATTTTATATTATGAAGCAGTTTATTTACATGCTAACGTTTGTTTATTTTGACAAATTAATTTGTACTATTATTTTTTAATTTAATATAATTATTAATACAAGTTAAAATTCTCATAAAAGCAAACAAATAATAATATAATACTAAAACTTTTTCATATAAAACAATGAATCTAAAATTTATATCTAGTACATTACACTATCCAGTGATACTTAAGTTTAAATGAAATATCATTATTATTTTAGTTACTTTATCTCAATTTTAAAGCATTTCATTATCCTCTTTTAACTATTACTTTTCAGGTCCCACTGAAAGAGAAATTCTCACTTCACGGTTAATTGATAGATCATTGCGGCCACTATTTCCCCAAAATTACAACTATGATACGCAGATTGTTTGCAACATGCTGGCAGTTGATGCCACGAACCCACCAGAGACTGTTGCGATCAATGCCGCCAGTACTGCTTTGGCATTATCTGATGTGCCCTGGAATGGACCAATAGGAGCAGTAAGGTAAAACATATTTCACTTCTCCATAATCGTATTGTCATAGTCAAATTTTGTATGGAAAGACCCAGTTTGTTACTTCATCTGGTATGGGTGCTGTTTAGTTTTACTAGAAGCTTTGATGATGTGATATGATTATGGAGCTGTAACGAAAATTCATGCCGCCTCAGTACAAAAATAATATCTGAACAGAAGAAACAAATATAAGATAACGGAATGCAGGCATTTATCAGTTGTTTCAACTGCATTTCAGCAATAAAGAAAATATTTTTTAAGAGCCATTATTATAATATATTTAAGTATGTATAGATATAAATTAGCAGTATTATTAGACTAACTCTGAAATTACACATCACATTGTTTGTGTGGGATGGACTGCTTAACCAATTTTAATCAAATTTCCACACCGCAGTTTAGTCCAACTTGAAAGATAGGATAGCTTACATCTTAATTTAATGCTGCAATATTATTTTATTGCAAGTTATTACTTTTGGGCGGTTGGAACTTTGCTGAGTCAGCTACTTTATTTATATTGTAGGAATCTGAGGACCTTTATACCTACCTTTTCATTCATTATGATGAGTTTTTGTTAAAAATTATCAAATTAAATTAGTAATGTTCTATTTTTTTTAACCTTGTAACTTTTAGATGTTTAAATCTAAAGAAAATTCGCGGTAGCATAATGTTCAGTGCATTCGCCCGGATAGCAAAGGGTGCGGGTTCGAGTCCCGTCTGCTGCCTGTTCGGAGTGGAATTTTTTCTACTTCAATTTTCTTTTGATAATGTTCGTTAGAATCTATGTGCATAAGCTGAATTGTCTCTTCATATTTTTCAGATTAGGGCAAATTGACAATGAACTTATTGTGAACCCAACTCGCAAAGACTTACAAAAGTCCATTCTCAACCTGGTCATAGCTGCTACTAAAAGTAACCTGGTTGTAATGCTGGAAGGCAGCGCATCTGATATTTTGCAACAGGACTTACTGAAGGCCATCAAACTAGGTATGAATGTAAGTCATTTACTATTAACACAAAATTCACAGCGTGATTTTTGTTATTTTCTTCTTTTTTTATGTTAGAAGGGCATTGCCTACCCTGACCCTGTGGAGCTTTGGAACCTTATTCACTAACAGAAACACAACACCACCAAAAGGTAGTGTTATTTTACTGTGGTCTTCTGTCAGGTGGACGTTACTGTCTCTGACAGGTGCTAAAATTCGAGCAGAAAATCCGCTATGTCCTACCTCTCTGAAAAAACAACTGAAATCCTAGTTTCTTTTTTACGTACAGTCACTTCCACTGTTGTGGCATGATAAGTGACCAATGCAAGAGTTTTAACCTATCAAATTAATTTTATTACAGCATGAGACCTTTTTACTATTTCTCAACAGGAACTAAAGAAGCTCAACATATAGTGAGAGCTATAGAAAAGCTGCAGAAAGATCATGGAAAGATGAAACGGGAGTATGAAACACAATTGCCCTTGGACCAGAGCATAATAGACTCAATTAAGACGTTATCTTCAATGAAAATAAGAGAGATCCTCAGGTGATTATAAAATATATAAAAAAAATTGTTGATTTTCAGTTTGTTTTCAAATTTCCATAACGAATCTTGCATTTCCACCAAAAATTACTCAAAAGAAAAAGATGAACTCCCTATTTATTGATTTTATTTTATTATATATATGCGTTTACATTAACAAACAACAGATAGTATTTTACAGGTAAGTATAGCCAATTACAGGTTTCCCTTAAGTTAAAAATAGTGAATGTACATCAAGAATTATTAATTACATATATGCCAATGAATAAATTTCAGTCTGTATTAGGGCTGCATGGTAGTCTCTGTCGCCCATAATGATATATGGCAGGCCTGCCTCTATGGCAGTGTGATGTTAATAGACTAACAATAACATCACTCTTAAATATTTGCTATCATCATCAGCTTATTAATGCCCCATTGCGAGAGTACAAGCTTTTCCTAAAACCGGCCATTGGGAAAGTTAACTTCCAAGTTTGTTGAGTAAACTTGATAACCACCCCATTGACCACCTTTATTAATAGGTTATTTGACAATATGAAAAAAAAGTACCATTTTGTGGTTTTAATATGAATATAAGAGCGTTTTTACTAATCTGAGAGAACATATTATTAATAACTTTGGCAACCATTTAATAGAAATGATTTTTTTGCTCTATGGTCACGTCTCACCGAAAACGCCTGGGATTGGCGAAGACTAAAATGACGTCACATGCTAGTAAACTCTCGGTCAAAGTGACATCACATTGTATCGGTTGACGTTTAAATGACAGTCGCGTGACGTCACATACCAGTAAGACGCCATAGTGTCCGTCCAGAGGAACGTTTCCATGGCAACTTGAAAATTGAATTTTTGATCTGGTCTTTTTTACTGAAATAACAAGAGAGTGATGAATATCCACTTTTTACGGACTCCCTAAACATTAGTAAATAACGTGAGATTGTTTTCTAGAACTTGTCAAATAACCGAGGAGCTCGATGGCGTATGTGGTTACCGCGTTCTGCTGCGATCGTTGAAGTTAAGCAACTTTCGCAGTGGTCGGTCATTGGATGGGTGACCAAAAATTTACTATCTCGATCGCGCTCCTCCGTGCTACGAAAGGTACGCTAAGCCGTTGGTCCCGGCCGCATCTGTAGTCGTTAGCACCCACCAACTGGCCCGCGTGGTGGATCATGGCCCAATCTCCCTATTCCATCCATAGGGAAGGCCTGTGCCCCAGCAGTGGGGACATTAATAGGCTGATGATAATGATGATGAACCAATTGTTATATTTTTCTTATACCAGTGACTACTCTCACGATAAGACCTCCCGAGACATAGCAATATCAGAGCTAAGACAGACCATACTCAATCAACTGAGAGATGCTGCAGACGCTGGCCAGCTGCAAGATGCCTTCAATGCTCATCTACGGGAAATATTCAGAGACATGATATTTGAGACCGATGTCCGCTGCGATGGAAGACATTTGGATGAGCTCAGGAAGATCAACTGTGAGGTAGGAGTACCAATTTTTAAGAGTTGTGGTTCAGTGATTTTTTCAAGAATACTTGCTTTAGAATAGAATAGCATTGAAAATAATTTATTTCAGTGAAACAAATATTATTCCCCTTAATAAACCAAAAATATGTTTTGTAATCCAAACTTACAATTAAACAAAGAATAAGCTATTTATATGTTATTTGGATTAGTTATTTATATGGTATTTTAGTGATATGAAAAAAAAACACAACGTAACTTGTGTAAGCTTGTTCCTCATTTATTTATAATCTATATCTATGTATACGGATAGTACGACAAAGAAATTAGTCACTAAAGGACATTGCTCGTACCCCATACATTGAATGCCCTAGAACGCACAGTAATGAGAAAATGCTAGTTGTGTTCGGAATCTACATATATAAAACTCAAAGGTGACTGACTGACATAGTGATCTATCAACGCGCAGCCCAAACCACTGGACGGATCGGGCTGAAATTTGGTATGCAGGTAGATGTTATGACGTAGGCGTCCGCTAAGAAAGGATTTTGATCAATTCTACCCCCAAGGGGATAAAATAGGGAATGAAAGTTTGTATAAAACTTTGTCAATTTTAAACCGATCGGGCTGAGACTTTGCATGCAGGTATAAGAAGAATCATAGATGAATGTCATTATGTATAATCAAGCCTGAAAACAAAAACTGTAGTTTACACTTCAGCTCTATACCGAAGCGAAGCGAGGGCGGGCCGCTAGTAGGGTATACGTGTTTTTTGCATCATTGACACTGAAAACGCAACTAGCTCACTCTTATATGTCCATGTCGCAGATTATCCGACGCTGATTAACCGTGATTATAACTGGACTTAATATGAAACCATATTTAAGATGTTTCATACACATGTCGCGTTTAGGCCTTCGGATTTCAGCAAAGGTCATCGAAAATTGTCTTCAAATGTAAGCAGAACGTATAGCACGATCTAAACTTTAATTCGGTTTATTGTACTGTTTTTTAATAATTATTCTGCTAAATTTATAAATCTTTAAATAAAAAATTACTTACTTTCCAATTTATGGCGGTAGTGAAGTTAGCAACGAATGCAACTTTGCGCAGGTTTCAGTTCGTTAAAGGAACCCCGCACACAGCAAGAACGGCCTTTATTTCATTTACTTGCTGCGCTGCTACTTGCGATAACTTTATTGTGTTTTAATCTTCACGTCTGGACTGCACCGTCACTTAATTAGACCTATTTATAAAAAAAATCGCACTATAATGAAAACGTCGTAAATTTTGCTCAGGTATCATTGTACGCGCCATTGCACGGCAGCGCGTTATTCCAGCGCGGACAAACCCAGGTGTTGTGCACAGTCGCATTCGATTCGCCAGAAAGCGCGCTTAAAGTTGACCCGCTCACTATGATCACTAGGTGAGTAGATGAAACGATTTAACATTATACATAAAGAATGACGTCAATAAATGCTGTTTACTCATGTTATGCTCATATGTCTTCCTTTTTTTGAATAACTGTGTTTCAAAGCAAGAAGAAGCCCTCAAAAATGCCAAAAATAAACAAATTTTTATCACCACTAAAGACGTCTAGTGTGGAGATTCAATAAGCATTTACAAAAAAATCAAAACATAGAGGCCTAGTATATCTACTTATTATTCTATAGGTAAAATTTCTTTTATATATATCTTATTTTCGTGAAGGAAATCGACGAGAGCCAAATCTCGCATTTTGCAATTTTTATGCGCAATTTTCAGAATTAGCTACTGTTGCCCTTATCGCACGGTATTTGCCAATGCGCGACAGCCAGTGCTGTCTTTGACCTATTGGAGGCCCTGGGCATATCAGGATAATGGGGCCCCTATGACCCCCGTTTGGTGATTTAACAGGAACTAGGGACTTTGTGTTTGACCTGACGGGGGGCCCCATCGATCGCGGGGCCCTGGGCACTTGCCCAAAGTGCCCACTGGGAAAGAGGGGTCTGGCGACAGCAATAGTTTTCTCAAGTACCTATTTCTCAAATGATTCTCAGCTCGCAGCCACTCTTAACATCCATGCGACCGTCATCTGGCCGTTCAGTCAATTAATCCACTCAAATGCTTTCGTCGTTATCACACAGTGGTATCAAAGAGAAGAGCTTCTTCCTCCACTACGAGTTCCCTTCGTACGCGACGGGGGAAGTGGGGCGCACGGGGCCGGCGGGGCGGCGCGAGGCGGGGCACGGCGCACTAGCCGAGCGGGCGCTCGTGCCCCTCGTGCCCCGGCTGCCCTACGCCACGCGCCTCACCGCTGAGGTGCTGGAGTCTAATGGTAAGTCATGGAGCAAATGCTAGTCTTTTCTGCTGCTGATGCTCACGAAGCAAAAAGTTTCTCTCGTGTCTTTGTTCATACAGGTCAATTTTGTATAAATCGGTTGTCTGTAAAGTCGGTTTAGTGATAGTTGAACGTGACTACGTTTTTTTTCCAATGTATATAGTTTTAAACAAGTATGAATGTGCACTTTTCACTGCACTTCATACTTTACGAAAACATGTAAATGTGTTATTGTATAGCAGCTGTCCACGCGGACGCATCGCTCACTCAAGTAGGAGAGAGACAGATGTCGAACGCTGCCGAACGCGGAGGCCGATTGTGCCTCTTTGTCGCTCGTTGCGCGCTCTCGTTTGCACTTCAAGCCTTAAATGGAACGCCTCAGAGCGAGGTAACGCCGCATCAGTCATGTTTTTTCGTGCGTGCAGCCGGCTCCATCGAATTATAAGATGTTGTCACGTCAAAAAAGAAAAGCTTAAGTTAGATAAGGGAAACTTCAGTTTGCTGAGGTGCTGGCGTCAAATGGCGTGTGACGGTGCGAATGCTAGGAGTAACTTTAGGTGTCCCGTAGGTAACGGAGTGAAACAAAGAAGCAATATTGAGAGTGGCTTTAGTTGTAACCTGACTTATCTGGGTAGGGCTCACCGCTGAGGTGCTGGAGTCTAATAGTAAGTGACATACCAAATTCAACCTCTTTGTTAGGTAATGAACTACCTAACTAAAAGGTAACATAAGGTTTACCAACGAATAATATACTAGGAGTAGCTGAAGGTGTCCCCCATAGAACAAAACTACCCGTCTCGCCACTGAGCTGCTGGATTCCAACGGTGAGTCACTGAGTAGATACAAATAGGGGCTTCTCTTTGTATCTACATGGAGAAATTACTATGAGGAGCTGCTGTATACAATGTAGCACACTTACAGGGGCATTGATGCCCCTCGTGCCCCACCTGCCCTACGCCACGCAACTTACCGCTGAGGTCATCAATCATCATCATAAACAGCCTATCTTAGTCCACGCTGGACATAGGCCTCTCCAATTGCACGCCACTTAGATCGATCTTGAGCTACTCGCATCCTCTTCCTGCCAGCCACCTTGCGCAAATCGTCACTCCATCGTGCCTGAGGACGTCCTACACTACGTTTACCTAGACGCGGTCTCCACTCCAGAACTCGTCTACCCCAACGGTTATCGGTTCTTCTGCAAATATGGCCAGCCCACTGCCACTTCAACTTGCTAATCCGGTGGGCTATGTCGATAACTCTGGTTCTCTGTCGGATTACCTCATTTCTTTTGCGATCCTTCAGAGAAACGCCGAGTATTGCCCTTTCCATAGCGCGCTGAGCGACTTTGAACCTGTGGACCAGGTGTATCGTCAGTGTCCACGTCTCAGCTCCGTATGTTATCACAGGTAGGACGCACTGATGGTAGGACCGCTGAGGTGCTGGAGTCTATTTTTATTTTTATTTATTTGTTTATAGTCAGGCAACGTAGGCCAATAGATAAATACTTTATAGTCTAACAAAAATACAGATATAGGTAATACATTAAAAAAAATGGATGCGTGTAACTTATGTACGCGCGTGAGAAGTTATACTTCTATAGCATCATTAAAAATATTTTTTAATTGCATGCAAATAATTAATAATTACAATAAAATAATAAAAGGACTGGAAAAGGATAGTTAACACAGTCAATTAAGTTCCGTTTTAATTTGAAAAATTAAATAAATATTCAAAATATTCAATTAAAATCACTACTGAATTTAAGTTATTAGTCCATATGTAATTAGCACTTGTAAGTAACTAAAACACGTTGTGTCTATATAGAAACTAGAAACATGTGGATAAATATTATAAATATGAAAACAGTGATCAGAGGCGACGAGCGTGCCAACATTGTTTTTGACAACGCGATCATCTTATGGAGCTCCGTGGATCGTTCAAAGTACCTTTCGAACAGATGTCTAATAATGGTGGATTATTAACCACTATTATTAGACACTAACATTCATAACGCGCCCGCGGCCAACTTCATGGTGTTACTATTGTGTTACAGTGATGCGCGCGCATCTCGAAATTTCACTCACATGATTTTTTCATGACGCGCCCGCGGCTAACTTCATTATGTTACTTTTGTGTTACAGTGATGCGCGCGCATCTTAAAATTTCATTCTCATAATTTTTTCATAACGCGGCTAAAGAAGTATAACTTCAATAAAAAATAAATAAATAAATATTTCTAACACTCACACCAATTAGCCTAGCCCCAAAGTAAGCACTGTAAGGCTTGTATTATGGGATGCTAGGGTAACGGATAGAATACATATACTGTACATATATAAGTATATTTATATAGAAATACATATTAAACATCCATGACTGGAGTACAAATGCTCGTGTCCATAACAGAAACATCTGCCCCCACCGGGATTCGAACCCTGGACCTCTCGAGTCGGCGACACCATAAAACCCGGCGTACAAACCACTCGGCCACAGAGGTCGTCAAATGTTAGTAATTAAAAAATAATAATAACTATGTTAGTAGAAACCTAATTAACACGTATAGACGGCGACGTATGACGCGGAGTGGTGTCAGGTAGCCGGCCTCGGAACCGTCGGAACACAACACCACGGTAATAATATCATACAGTATTCTATCTTCATACAAACGGTCGGAAAGCTAGTCATACCTACGCCACTCGAGTTCGATGTGCTCTCGGCGGGTACCCAGTCGCGAATGCGCCGCCGCGCCGCAACGACGACCGTACGGTCTGAATTGTTTTTTATGCAGTTAGCCGTGCTTAAACGTGCGTTATGTATTGTAAATATTTGATTTAATTAAGTAGATACCTACATAATTTAGTATGGAAAAGAACAAACGACGATCAATAACGTACAACAGCACAATTGCTGTTTTTGGTTGCTTGAACTCTTCAATAACACCCCCAGAGATATCAGTTTTTAAATTACCTGAAATATACCTATCTACTAGTACGTTATTTGTTTCTAATATTTAGGTATTTCGGTTTTTCCATTGGGCAAAATATCTGGAATAATATATAAATAAGTGGTTAGGATAAAAAAAGAGACAAACGAGTAATTTACCTACACTCGCGTTAAAACTACATAAAATACTGTAGGCTGGCGGCCCTACCGCGTGCCAACGCAGCGCTCGGTGTAGGCATTTATTTTCAAGGACAGGGCGGAGTCACAATACTGTATAGATAATATTACCGTGACAACACCTTTCGGCCAAAAATCTTCTTTTATGAACGTCGCCAGATGTTCGGTTGACACCCGCACCACAAAGGAATTAAAATTCACATTGTGACGGGACTCCAACCGTGCGACTCTGAGGGAGAATTTGGTCTTAATCCGCAGGTACTCTACGATCTCCTCTTCCTTCGTAGAGTAATGCTGCAAATGCAATACGTCTAATGGTAAGTCACGGGAAAAATAGAACCTTTTTGTAACTGTAAGTGTCCCCACGGATCAAAACTAATCACCTCACTGCTGAGGTCTTGGAGTCAGACTTACTCAACTAACCCGAACTTATAAAAGTCCAGATAAAAGGACTTTACGGATAGGACGGGCGGTAACCGTACATGACACAAATTGGATGGATGGATTAGACTATTCACGCCGGCATGCACACATACCAAATTGAAAAGACACAATTCGTAAAGTTCAATCCTTTAAAAGAATCAACAAATTATATCGATTTTGGAAAGACAAAATCGCTTATACGCCATTTTAGTAACTTTACAGAAACTATGATCAGTTATGATTTTATTTATTTTTAAGCATTTAACTGCTAGATGTTTAAATCTAAAGAAAAGTTTACTAGAAAAAAAATCCTGCCTGGTCCGCGTGGATTTTTTTCTAGTAAACTTTTCTAGTTAAATGCTTAAAAAATAAATAAAATTATAACTATAATTGCTATTTCTTCTTTCAAATGTTGAATACTTGAAAAAGTATTCATTTGACATTGTGGGTTACCTACAATGCGAAGAGATGGCGCTGCCTTGCAGCTTAAGGCTAGGAAAATTTCGACGCGGCTAATAGGGCCGTGGTAGCATAATGGTCAGTGCATTCGCCCGGATAGCGAAGGATGCGATTTTACTCATTGTAAATGAGAAAGAAATGAGAGAGGAGCTCGATGTTGCAAGTGGTAAGCCCGTTCGGCTAGGATCGTTGAAGCAACTTTCGCAGTGGTCGGTCATTGGATGGGTGACCAAAAACTTACTATCTCGAGATCCTCCGCGCTTCGGAAGGCACGTTAAGCCGTTGGTCCCGGCTGCATCTGCATTCGTTAGCACCAATCTGCACTGGGCCCGCATGGTGGGTCATGGCCCAAACTCCTTATTCCATCCATAGGGAAGGCCTGTGCCCCAACAGTGGGGACATTAATAGGGTGATGATGATGATGATGAAATGAGAAATAGCGCCATAAAAAATATCCATAAAATAATATTCAATCAACTATATTTTGATATTACCCTGTGCAAGAGCGAAACGAACGACCGAAAACTTAGCGAAACATTTTTATTTCTGGCCCAAAAACTACACTCACGTTCAGTGATTTGAGGCTAGTTTAATCCACTGTAAAAAATTATTTTTGTCCAGGGTCCAGCTCCATGGCTTCCGTTTGCGGGGGCTCCTTAGCCCTAATGGACGCGGGTGTCAACATGGCGGCGCCTGTTGCGGGCGTGGCCGTTGGGCTGGTGACGAGAGACGACGACTACCGGATACTGACTGATTTGTTAGTGAGTCCGCCATTATCATAGTATAAATATAGCCTATATCACTCGCGGAACAATGTAGCTTTCCAATGGTGAAAGAATTTTAGAAATCGGTCCAGTAGTTTTTGAGTAATCTAGCTTTTAGTGGTGAAGGGGCCTTACTCTGCCTGGGTATGACGACCTCCGTGGCCGAATGGTTTGTACGCCGGGTTTCATGGTGTCGCCGACTCGAGAGGTCCCGGGTTCGAATCCCGATGGGGGCAGATGTTTGTGTGATGAACACGAGCAATTTGTACTCCAGTCATGGATGTTTCATATGTATTTCTGAATATATATGCTTATATATATACAGTATATGTATTCTATCCGTTACCCTAGTATCCCAAAACACAAGCTTTACAGTGCTTACTTTCGGGCTAAGGTTTAGGCTAATTGGTGTGAGTATTGGAATTTAATTTTACAATAGCAGTAAAAAACTGAAAGACATACCTACAGCATGGTAACATTATCTATACAGTATTGTGACTCGGCCCTGTCCTTGAAATAACTGCCTACGGCCGAGCGGGGCGTTAACACGCGGTAGGGCTGGGCAGCCCAGCGGGCGCCTACAGTATTTTGATTTCATCTACATAATTGAGTTTCTTTCTAGTTTTCTGATTATAAATATTTTATTTTATATGTAAAAAAAATGTTGTGAATGAATTAGGAAGTGTTCAATAAATTGCATGTCATTTTTAGGTAATATTTAATAATAAAAAATCATCTAATTCAATAATGTATGTAGTTAAGTAAGTAGATATCCTAGTCAAGGAAACTACCTACCTGTTATGTAGTTTTGTTTTTAACGCGAGTGTAGGTAGATTACTCGTTTGTCTTTTCACCCTATCCACTTATTTATATATTATTCCAGAGATTTTGCCCGATGGAAAATTCGAAATACATAAATATTAAAAACAAATTAGGTACTAGTAGATAGGTATATAAAAAATATTCTATAGTCTTACCTTTCCAATATTTCAGGTAATTTAAAAAATTATATCACTGGGTGCGTTATTGAAGAGTTCATGCAACAAAAACAGCACAATATCGTCTATTGTTCTTTGCCATATTAAATTATGTAGGTATCTACTTAATTCAATCAAATATTTACAATACCAATCGCACGTTTAAACACGGCTAACTGCATAAAAACAATTCACACCGTTCGGTCGTCGCTGCGGCGCATTCGCGAGTGGTTGCCCACCGAGAGTCGCGCTAACTCGAGTGGCACTCGCTTTCCGACCGTTTGTATGAAGATAGAATACTGTATAGATAATATTACCGTGCCTACAGTGAGCTTTTGGCGTAATTTTTAATTTAGTAATTTTAACACTATTTAGGCTGTTTTGATTGACTTGAGTTGAAATTCAAATTCAGCGGGCCTAAAACCTCTGGGCTGTAAAGAAAATGTAATATATGGTCAAAATCATATGCGTAATTATACAGTTTTGTTCACCAGCTCCTCAATTATTCTACGAAAAAGGGGTTTTACACCATTCCGACTCAAATCATTCCTTTCATCTACAGGGTATAGAAGACTACATGGGCGATATGGATTTCAAAATGGCCGGTTCCAAAAAAGGCATAACGGCGTTGCAGGCGGACGTCAAAATACCCGGTCTGCCGCTCAAGATCGTAATGGAGTCTGTGCAAAAGGCATGCGACGCCAAAGCCAAGATCATAGACATCATGAACCAGTGCATAGACAAGCCGAGGTAAGTGGCTACGACATGATCATGGCGCGATTACATTTGGTCGTTAGCCCGAATACGAGTGCCAATGTTAATCTATACTTATAATAAATCTGTAGAGATGTCAATTCTGTACATGAAATATATTTTTAAAATAACTATCAGGGGGTGATTAGTGATCGATACTGATGGCAAAAATGCAATCTGTAAAATTTTTGTCTGTCTGTCTGTCTGTGTGTATGTTCCTTATAGAAACAAAAACTACTCAACGGATTTTAACGAAACTTGGTACAATTATTCTTCATACTCCTGGGCAGGTTATAGTATACTTTTCATCACGCTACAATCAAAAGCAGCAGAGTAGTGAAGGGAAATGTTGGGAAAACGGGAGAAGTTACTCCATTTTTTAAGCTTCCGTCGCGGGTGCAGCCTTAATGGTTAAAGTTACAGAGAAATCATGTATGACAGAAATATTCTACATGAAATTGTCTAAAAAATATCCCGCAAGAGCATATGTCTATCTTTTATAGTTGACTCACAATAGCACGTGTAATTATATAAATAAAGTCATTCTTTATAGCACAAGCCTGAGAACAAAAACTATAGTTTACACTACAGCTCTACACCGAAGCGAAGCGAGGGCGGGCCACTAGTTAATAATATTAATGTGATGAAAGTTAACATCAACACATGTTTTCAGTTTTTGATGTCATCTTTCAATCGACGACACTATGAAACAAAACAGGGAGAAAAAATATAGCCCTTGCTGAGTTTCTTGCCGGTTCTTTTCAGTACAAGGTCTCCTGCCGTAGATTTACAAACCAATGGTGTAGCTAAGGTTGCAACGATATATCGGAATATCGATGATATCGATAATATCGAGACCAAAATATCGATATTTATTTCGATATTTAAATTCACTGATATCGATAATATCGATATCGGAAATTCCAAAATATCGATATTTCGTAGACTAAATTTGAACTCAATAATATCAATTAATTTAGCTGCTATGACTATCTAAATTGAATAATATCGAAATAACTATTGCTTTGACATCGCAAGAGTTTATAGATGTATAAAAAAAAACTTGAACCCCAAGAAATATACTAAACTGGTGTAGATTCTGGCATGATTCTCTAAACCTAAGATTAAATTTGAAAATAGTGTATCCTTGTCATTCTTTATACAGAATGAAAAGGAGAGACTGATGTTAAATTTAGTTTTAAGTTTAGATAATCATGCCAGAATCGACACCAACGTATATAGGTATAATCGTATACCTAATGGTAACTCATGCACTTAAATAAAATCCTTGCCTCTCTTTCTATATAATTGTCAACTACTGATTAATTGAAATTTATATCCTTGTAATATAACACAAAATAAAATTAAGAATCTTATACAAATCGTAAAATTTTTAAGCTCGCCAAGTCAAGAAAGTAAGATAGGTATAGTAATTTTGGAAGCTTTGGGCTTACCCTATTCTGAAGCCATGGGCACGCCCCTGATGTGTGGGAGACTAAGCAATTTGCGTATTTGATGTGCGCTAAAAAACCGACATAGCTTGAAAAGGCACGAATGTAGTGAAAACTTAGCGAAGGCATTCGCAAATGTCGTCCTACATATGCGGGTTGGCGCATTCGTACTAACGAATGTGAGTGATCTGATCAGGATAATAATTTTATTTTTTTGGTTTCCTGTCGTGGCTGAAACACAAACCGTGCGTGCCAATAAAAAAATCCTGCTTGGCGCGATTTCATCAAGCGTGTTTAATGAAAAAGCTGGCTCAATGCATTTTGCGAGAAACTCGCCAACAAACATATGAATGTGTCACACTCACCCCGTATTCTAATGTCAATAAAAAATAAAAAGGAAAAAATATCGATATATATCGAGTTAAAATGGTCGATATATCGGATATCGATATTTTCCTGACTTCGATATAAATATCGATATTTCAAAAGACTTTGCATCCCTAGGTGTAGCGTTTGACTTTCACAAGAGCTTGTAACAGACTAGACCAGTGGTGGGCTTAACGCATGTAATTTAAATGAATAATTTCGAAGATATTACAGATTTAAAATGCAGGGACATAGCGGTTCCGTCGCTACCGGGCGGGGGGCTTGGCGGCGCGTGCCTATTGTAATTAGGTATTAGAAGAATGTCATTGTGTATATAATACAAGCCAGAGAACAAAAACTATAGTCCACACTACAGCTCTACACCGAAGCGAAGCGAGGGCGGGACACTAGTTGAAAATAAATTCCAAAATGTGGGCGCACTATTTAAATGAAACGCAATCTTTCCAAAAAGTTCAAATTTCAGCATGTATAATTTTGTCCCATTCAACAGACAAGGACGTAAAGAGAACATGCCAGTCCTTGAAGAGATGGAGGTGGAAGTCCACAAGAGGGCCAAACTGCTGGGGGTGGGCGGTGTCAACCTGAAGAGATTGTACGTGGAAACGGGGGTTCAGGTATTATAAAATTCTTATAAACATCCAAATAAGTCTTTGCAGTCGGGAGACATCTTATTAAATTAAAAAAGTGACTGCAATAAATTCTTTGAATTATTTTTGGGTGTATTTCGTTATATATAGCAGTATACTGGCCAGTGCTAATGACGTCACGAATCGACGTTATACTGGTGAAAGTTAAGGTTTTCTGGTTAAGGTTTCGAGAATCGTGCTCAATGATATTTTATTGCCCCAGGTGACACCAATAGACGAAACCAAATACACGATATTTGCACCTTGCCAAACGGCCATGGACGAAGCTAGAGTCCGCATAGATGGCTGGCTGACATCAGAAAGAACACCCGAGCTGGAGTTTGGTGCCATTTACAAGGCCAAAGTGGTGGAAGTGAGAGATATAGGCGTTATGGTCACATTGTTCCCGGGCATGACGCCTGCGTTGGTGCACAACTCGCAGCTGGACCATAGGAAGGTAAAATATAAATAATATAATTGTGTTTTGTTAAATTATATTTCATTTAAGTATTACAATTTTTGTTATATAAAGCTCTCAATGGGACCCGTGCTTAGCCATCCTGGGTGGAATTTGTTTTTCTAACATTTCTTACACTCAGATCAATTATTTTAGACCCAAATTAAGCTCTGTAAGGCTGATGAAGTACGAATAGACCGAACTTTATCTCTTCATCGAAAATGGTCCATGCATGACCCACCACATGGGCCTAGTGCATATTGGTAAATAGGCTAATGACTGGAAATGCAATGAAATTTAATGAAACTTTGTTTAAATTGACTTATGGTAAGTAAGCTATGTTGAATCGTCCAATATTTTTCCCTACCAATAGTGTTCAACCAATATTTTCCCCACCAATCGGGACCAACAGCTTGATGTGCCTTCTGAAGCATGGTGGTGTCACCCATCCAATTACAGGTCATTGCCAAAGTTGCTTCACCTCCACGATCGCAGATTGAACGCTCCATCTAGCTCTTATAGGCTAAACTTATTGAAGCCCCCATCTTAAGAAGTAACTTCGATCTTATAGATGATCACAATAACATTACCATTTGGTGGTGTTGTGATTCTGTCAGTAAGGTTCCAGGGGGCCAATTGCCTATCGGGCTAAGGTTATTGCTATCGCTTACGATTTCCTTTTATTATTTCTGACCGCCGAAGGTTTTCAAATACCTCATGCTAATTTTCTTTCATATTGTTATTACCAATGCTAAGAGAGAAAAAAACGCGAGGCATTTGAAAATCTCAGACGGCCAGAAATAACAAAATGAAATCGTAAGCGATAGCCATAACAATCCCGTTAGGCGAATGGCCCCTAGGGCTTCACGGGATAGGGGATAGGGACTGTGGCCTACCACAGTGCCAGTGATATTTATGGCATCGCAAGTGTCTATAGCCTATGGTGGCCTTTTACCCTCAGGCGAGTCATACGCTTGTTTTCAAAGTAAAATAAAAACATAAAAAAAATATAAAATCTCTTTGTTAACAGATACAGCATCCATCGGTCCTAGGTTTGGACGTTGGCTCAGAGATTCAAGTGAAATACTTCGGACGAGACCCTGCCTCGGGCCAAGTGAGGTTATCGCGGAAAGTTCTCTCCTCGCCTCCTCCAGCCCGAGTCAGAAACTTGGACAACAGCTAAAACTCGACAATTTCAATATCAAAAATGGTGATAAACGTGAATCGTGCTGTAATAGTGATCAGAAAACTGGTGATGTGTTTATAAGTGATATTACGAGTGAGTGAAGTGACACAATGATAAAATTTTAATTGAATTTACCGAAGAAATGTAACAAAGACTGATTATGTGCATCCGAAGCCCAAGTTATGCTATATGAAGCATTTTTGAGGTGTGATTGTTAGTATGTGAGATTCAATTAGATAGCTGAACCATATTTGACGATGTAAAAATAGATGTGATATCATTAAAATTTTCTCTTCTGCGATGTTGATGTAGAATGTGCAATTTGACCTACTATTGTGACATGTAGGCCTGAGTGCTTGTTAGCATTTTGCTGGGTTCTAAATGGACAAAATCCGTCCTATGTTGGTTTCTCTTCTGTGTAATCTCTTTAGTGACCGGAACCATCCTTAACTTACCCAGATAACTGAATCTAATCTCTTTAATTGTATATAAAAATATAATGAAAAATTAAGAATAATAGTGCTTTGCCACTATATGTATATGCTGCTCTTCATAATATGGACTATATTGATAATTATGGATATGGTAAATTTTGCTGTGTTAGAGGAAAAAATAAATTGTAATAATACAAAATACAATCTACAAAAATACAAATACCTAGATTACTTAGATCTCCTATCTGATAGTCAAATATTTTATGTATTTCAATCTTTTTGAGATTCATGATGCATTTCTAAAAATCCCTTATTATGACTAGAAGCAAAAAAAAAATTTCTTTGTTTAATTTTAAAATTATGATGCTTATTGTTAAGTTTGAATGTATTAAAATAAATTACTGTAAAGCACTCATCGGTTTAATTTTATAAATTAGTTCATAATCCACCATCATATTAATTTAGTCATGCGAGGAACGCTCACTCTGGAGAACAGACCATTCACACAGACGTAAATCTATCTTATATCTTTTCTCCGTGATGTCCTGGGCTTTTCAAATCCATCGGCTTGCCGCGTCATTCACGACGACCTCCGTGGTGGAGTGGTTTGAACGCCGGGTTTCATGGTGTCGCCGACTGGAGAGGTCCCGGGTTCGAATCCCGGTGGGAGCAGATGTTTGTGTTATGAATACGAGCATTTGTACTCCAGTCCAGCCCCCCTAGCATGACTAACAAAACGCGATATGATAAAGCGATTTATCGACACTCAACTGTCAAACTCCATTGTAGTTTGACAGTTAATGTCGATAGATCGCTTTATCATATCGCGTTTTGTTACTCATGCTAGGGGGGCTGGATGTTTAATAGGTATTTCTATATATTATACTTATATATTTATAGTATACAGGGTGTTACAAAAATACAAATAAAGCTTGAAGGGAGTTGAAGTACATCATATAAGGAGTCTTCTCTAATTTTCTTAAAATATTTGCATGAAGTTTTAACTTTTTATAAAAACAGTTGTTTTTAATGATTAATTAAAATATCGATCATTTTAAGACACGTCACTAGTGCGAGGATCATTAAAAATAACTGTTTTTATAAAAAGTTAAAACTTCATGCATTATTTTAAGAATTTTAGAGAAGACTTCTTATATGATGTACTTCAACGCCCCTCAAGCTTTATTTGTATTTTTGTAACACCCTGTATGTAATCTATTCGTTACCCTAGTATCCCTTAACATAAGCCTACAGTGCTTACTTTGGGGTTAGGCTAATTGGTATGCGTTGGAAATATTTATTTATTCACAAGATCGTCTTGTCATCTGGTCGGGGCTTGGACTTATTTTAAAGTCTGGCGCCCCGGGCCAATTACGTACCCCTCCTACCCCTCCCATATGATTTTTTTTTTTTTTTTTTTTTTTTTTTATGGATAGGTCCGACAAATGACTCCACTTCACCTGATGTTAAGTGAAGGTGAAGTCCAGACGTGACGATAGCTGATACAGCAGTTTTACCTGCCACACCAGCCATCCTCACCCTGCCGGCCTGCATGTTGCTTCTTCACGCCTCTTTTAAAGGATCCCAGGTTGTAAGAGGGAGGGAACACGTGAGCGGGCAGAGCATTCCATTTACGGATAGTGCGACAAAGAAATGAGTCACCAAATTTCTTTGTACGCGTTGGAATTGTGGCCACAGTTAGACGATGACAACGTAGGCCAGCGCGCGTGGTCCTCTGAAGGAAAGGAGAAGGTGGGATAAGAGAGAATAACTCCTCAGAACACTCGCCGTGGTACAGACGATAGAACGCGCTTAGTGACGCCACGTCACGGCGTAATTGAAGAGGCTCAAGGTGTTTAGTCACCTCCTCATCGCCTATGATGCGGATCGCGCGTCGCTGTAACCTATCCAAAGCATCGAGCAAGTACTTGGCGGAGCCATCCCAGAGGTGCGAGCAATATTCCACGCAGGACCGCACTTGCGTTTTGTACAACAAGCACAGTTGATCGGGCGTGAAAAAACGCCGCACCTTGTTCAGGACTCCGAGTTTGCGTGAAGCTGTTTTGATCACGGTTTCGATGTAGTTCTTTGGATTCAGGTCTGAGCGAACTTCCATACCGAGCATGGAAATGTTGCTCTGCAGCGGTAGTGTTGTGCCCTGAAGAGATGGAAGGGGAAGGAATGACGATGTTTTTGCCGTGAAAGCGCAAGCCTGAGTTTTTTTGGCATTGAACTCAACCAAGTTCCTGGTACCCCATTCGGAAATGTGGTCCAAAGCCTGATTGAGTTCAATGACAAGATTCTCGCGTTTCTCCTTGGTTACCGCCAGCCCAGCCGCTGCTTGTCCGAGATACCCCGCATGCACTGTACTATCGTCTGCATAGCAATGAATATTCCCAAGAGGAATTAAGTCATTGATATGCAGCAGAAAGAGAGTGGGGGATAGGACGGAGCCCTGGGGAACGCCGGCATTCACTGACATGAACCGCGAACTGCTACCATCCGTAAGGACACGAATTCTACGCTCATGCAGGAAGTCAGCTACCCAAGAACAGAACTGGGCTGGCAGACCGTATGCCGGAAGCTTGGAGAGAAGGCTTTTGTGCCAGACCCTGTCAAACGCCTTGGCAATGTCAAGGCTGATAGCCAACGACTCGCCACGCTTGTCGATAGCCTCACCCCAGATATGAGTTAAGTACGCTAGAAGATCACCCGTCGATCGTTTCGGTCTAAAACCATATTGACGATCATTAATCAAGGAGTGATCCTCTAGGTAGCGGGTCAGATGGTTATTAAGGACCTTTTCTAAAACTTTACATAAAACTGAGGTGACTGCTATTGGCCGGTAGTTTGCCGGGTCTGAGCGATCCCTTTTTTGGGCACCGGTTGCACATTGGCATCTCTCCAAGCCTCCGGCACACGCCCCAAAGAATACGAGCATTGGTACAAGCGCGTGAGCACGGGAGACAACTCCGCTGCACATTTTTTGAGTACTACTGCTGGGATGCCATCAGGTCCACTAGCTTTCCAGACGTCGAGTGATTGCAATTCGGCACGAACCTCGCGCTGCCTGATTTTAATATCAGGCATCGTTGTGCCACAGTGAGGTAATGATGGTGGCAGTGCATTGCAATCATCGATTCGGGAGTTAGCCGCAAAGAGTTTCGCCAGTAAATTGGCTTTCTCCTGTGGCTTATGGGCTAGTGTTCCGTCTGGGCATCTCAGAGGTGGCAGCGAGGGCTCGCAGAAGTTTTTTTGCACGGCCTTGGCCAGACGCCAGTAGCTACGGGAGCCCGTAGGGTGCGTCATAAGTTCCTGGCCAACACGTGCAACGCGCTGGGCATCCGCTCTAATGTAAGCCTTCTTACAGGCCTTGGAAGCAAAATTGTAGGCTGCTTTGAGTAAATCGACCTCGGGATCCTTGAGAGCGCGCCCTCTGATCCAAGCACGATATGCCGCTTGCTTACGCGAAGCAGCTTCAGCACAATCGTGATTGAACCAGAGGTTACGCGTGCCCTTACTGATGAGATCAGAATGAGGAATATAGTATTCCATACCCATTATAATCTCCTCAGTAATGGCAACGGCACTGGCCGATAGGTCCCTGTCACTGAAGCAGCGCTGCTTCCAGGGGACGGACGCAAAGTAGTCACGCATACCGTCCCAATCTGCCGACCCATAATGCCAGATACGGCGCTTGACCACTGCTGGACGCGGAGGCTTGGCCTGTGGTGCTTTGGCAGATATCAGGCAGTGGTCTGACGAGCCCAGGGGGGCTCTTACCACAACCTGATAACCCTGTGGATGGGTCGTGAGCAGAAGGTCCAGTAAAGAAGGCGCTTGACTTGGAATATCTGGGATCCTGGTGGGCTGATCAACCAGTTGCTTCAAGTCATGCGTGAGAGCGAATGCGTGAGCAGAGAGCCCTGCATGGTCAGTTTTGGAGGAACTTAACCACAAATTGTGGTGAGCATTAAAGTCCCCCAAAAACACCAATTCTGCATTGGGAAATTGTTCCTGCGCGTCATCTGCTGCCCGACTAAGGTGTTCAAAAAGTCGAGTTGTCTCAACATCGCCGGTGTGGGATCTGTAGAGACACACGTAAACTCTGGCCAGAGGGCCAGAGTCGACGTGTACCCCCAGCATGGAGAAGGAGGGATCTTCCAAGCAGCGGAGACGGCGACAACAAACATCCGCCCGAACATACAGGCATACACCGGCTTTCGCTTTGAAGGACTCTTCAAGCACGTAGCCGGGATAATTAAGGTAGCCTGTGTCAGCAGGCGGAAGTATTTGTGTCTCCGTCAGGAACAAAAATGCTGGCCGTGCTGTCTCAAGATGGTGGTGGACAGCGTTGAGGTTAGAGTGGAGTCCGCGTATGTTGCAGAACTCGACCTCAAACAGCGTTGAAGGCGTGGGGGTGTGCACCGCTGAACGTCCAAACTTTGTTTTAGGAGCTGCCATTATGGAAGTGAAAAAGAGACGTGAAACGAGTGGACGTTGTCGCGACAAGACCGGGCAAATTAGGGAGGCATGTTTCCCCGAATGATTGCCTGCAGAGGATATACGCCGACCCGCCGGACGGAAGGGCCCCCGCACCCCCCCGGAAGTGGCCGCCGGGACCCCACGCCCCGGTCACCAACCGGCACGACGGTCCACCCCGAGATTATGCGTGACATGATGGGGCAGCCTCGCGAACTGGTTAGGAACGCTCGGGCCCCTGTACTGTGCCACGGGCGGCCAGCGGGACAGCCGTTTCTACGGGTCTCCCTGGCCGGCGGGTCGATGCAGTCCTCCCGGCATCGGTTCCACGGATGCCTAGCCCTGGACCGAATCCGTCGCGACAACCTCCACTCGAGCCCTGGTTGTACGCTGGCTGACCCCGAAACGCGCGAGAAGCACTTCACGGGTTTTTCACCATGCGCACGGTGGTAACAAACCAGGCGGGTGTTAGGCACCCTACCACCAGCAGAGCGGATGGAAGCTCCGATATCCCTTAGTCGCCTCTTACGACACCCACGGGAAGAGAAGGGGCGGTGAGTTGTATTCTTTCTCCGTCACCGCACGGATATAATTACCAAATTAAATCAAAAATTTGGGTCAGTCATGAAAGTATCCTATATGGCTTCTGCCGCGCAGCATACCGCCCCAGGCCCTAGCCCTAGGGCACCGACAACTAGCCAAACAAGGCGCACAATAACCTAGGATCCTTTAAAAGAGGCGTGAAGAAGCAACATGCAGGATGGCTGGCATGCACCCAGCCGCGAATGCGCCGCCGCGCCGCAACGACGACCGAACGGTCTCAATTGTTTTTTATACAGTTAGCCGTGCTTAAACGTGCGTTTTGTATTGTAAATATTTGATTGACTTAAGTAGATACCTACATAATTTAGTATGGAAAAGAACAAACGACGATCAATATCGTACAACAGCACAATTATTGCTGTTTTTGGTTGCTTGAACTCTTCAATAACACACCCAGAGATATCATTTTTTAAATTACCTGAAATATTGGAAAGGTGTCTTACCTTTATAGAATATTTTTTATATATCTATCTACTAGTACGTTATTTGTTTCTAGTATTTAGGTATTTCGGTGTTTCCATCGGGCAAAATATCTGGAATAATATATAA